GTTGCCCTCACGTTGTAAAACTAGTCCTGGGTTCTCTATTGCACATTATTCTACCAGGCAACATCACGCTTACAGGATTATAGAACAAATCTGCCCAACCTCTTAATGCACAGACCGTGAGTACATTCTGGATTTTATATTCAATGCATTCGATGTAATTAGTTTTACCTTACTTCCGTCATCGCGTAACCTGACTAGTGAAACTATGGCTGCAGAAAAGGTTTCTGATTTTCCAGTACAATGTTGCGATGAAATTATTCACTATTAACATTCAGTATGCTAAGGAAAAAATAAAATTACAGGAACTTAATTTGAATATCGTGAATATGGATGTTGAATTTTGTATTCTTGCTACTTTTATGATACGAAATCTGAATTGTTACCTAGTAAATAAGCCCCGTTTGATTCAGATGGAGCACTTAGTCTCCAAACAGCTGTTGTTCTATAAACGACATCTTAAATTTAATTGATTGGCGGTCCAGGCTTATCGTTCTTCATTCAACGCGTTTCGCCTTCGACACCGTTAGTGACTGCCGTTTGAAGCTTAGCGGGTCACGCCTCTGTCAACGAATCTATTAAGTGTGATATTGTCTTCTAACCCATATCAACCAGTTGCAGGGCAAACAATTGCTGCTGCCATCTTAGAGGCAATCGAATATCGTTTGATGGCGAGTAAGCTCACTAAGGGAAATTTACAGGCTTCTTTGTAGTAAACGTCATCAAAGTGACTTGTGTCCCGATAATCAGAACATCTTAGATCACATCGCAGTCTTAGTGATGGGCCGACACTCAGTTCCTATTTTTTGCCAGACCTGCGCTTCCACGCTTTCGCAATTTACCCTGGTGTAAGAAAAGTTAACATCGTCCAGAATAACAAAAGAACTGATGGCTCATGAAGCACACAAGCCTTACTCTATGCCGTAATAATCGGGAGTATAGCGGCCATAAAGCTTTCCACTGCAACTCATAACCGCCTATAATATTTTGCTATACCACACTTTTTAGACTTCGTTTGACAATTCCGAAATCATGTGCCATCATCTAGTTCGCTTTTCCTATTATAAATGTGTCGCACTGGAATGTTGTCAGTTACCAAATTATACACATTTAGATCACCTTATACTTAGCGTCAGAGTCCGTTGTTATTCGATTCTTTTTTTACATTCCGAAGTATTTTTCACACAGGGTAGGGCTTTCGGCATGATTCCTCATGTTTAGATATCTCAAAACAACTACTAGGAAAAGTACAAGCACTTGCGAAATCTTATTATATTCCTTACAAACTGATGACTATATTGTTGGACTATTATTTGCTAGATATTAACGCTACATTTATTTTTATTGGTAATCATTTTATAGCCGTTTCTTACCTACCGTTACTAATGTTTATTTTAGTTTCTCCCTGAGTCCACTACGAACTGGGACTTAATAATTTCTTTTAATTATACGAGAGAGTTGGATTGCGCTTCAGCGGGAGTGTGAAAGAATAGCTCTGTAGACGGTCCGCAAGCTTCACGGTAACCAGTTATTCGGTTAGAGGCTGATCGGGTTTTCTTCATATTATCATTACCTTCCTATTTCTCTCCGGCACTCTTCCTTCCCTCTTCCGTCCGTTCTTAGTTGTTTTCCTTACATCGGCTTCTTACTAAGCGCTTGAGCTTCAAGCCGTCTACCAGGTAGCTATTTTGCATTGCAGCTATTCGCACTACTTAGACACGGAAGAGCTTGGAATGCCAGACCAGAGGAACATTACAGCTCATCCACGAAAGTCCTATTTCCGCATACTTGTCAGACTGCGCTGGTACAGACCTACGGGACATCAGTTAAATGAAGATATAACCCTAGCATAAGCTTCTGCACTTACCCTGAACAAGGTGTATGTGTGAAACTGACATAGACATAACATAACGTATATTCCCATGTAGTGTGTAGAGGGAAGAAAAGGAAAAACTTAAATATTTTGGTCTTTCCCGAAGTCAGTATAGTCACCACGTCGTAGAGAAATAAAATATTAATTAATTACATATTTCCAAACCCAGGTTTACAAGCTTAAACGTCTCTCTGATAATGACAACTGTATCCTCATGCTGGTCAATAATACCAAACAGTGCAAATGGAGATGAACCGAAGTGGTATTGCATAAGGCGGTAGACGCGAATCTAGGTACAGCGAGAGATAAAAAGCACAAATACCATTCAGTTCTGAGCAGCGGAACACGTAGACAATGGAAAAAATGTTGTAATCCTATTCCTGGAAATGCAAAGAGCGATTGATTGCCTCAGGAAAGTTTACTTAACAAATTGAAGACCATAGGCAATGTAGGTCTAATGATTTCTTGCCTGCCTTCATACCTATTGGTAGACAGCAGGTGATGCGCGTCGGCGACCATTTCTCTAAACCAAAAGCCGTCATGGGTGGAGTAAATCAAGTAAGCTTCTTGGTCCGCTAAGTTTTCTCGCGTCTGTTAACGATGTATTCCAAAGAATAATACATGGTGCTAAGTTTCTGTTTACTGATGACATTAAAGTTATCTACTCACAAGAACCTGGAAACATCCAGGAAGCCGTACGTCTCATTCTGGATGACTCACCTGCAGTTGAGTCCTGGTGCCAACTACGGAGAATGTCATTTATGGTAGAGAAGTGATGTCGGTACATATGGACGCCGAGAATCAGCAATTTGATTTGGAGAATGTCTGGATCATAGGCAGGGCAAAAAGTAGAAAAGCATGCGAGTTCCTTGAGGCTTGGTACTCGGGGAAGAACTCAATCAACAGGCACTTAGATCTAGACAATGCCTATGAAACACTGAGCGTCCAAAGAATAGTCCGCCCTAGATCAACAAGACGAAGGAACTTCATTGGGGCGGACTCTAGCCAACAGTGCGAGAGTGCTGACTACACAGTCAGCTCACGTGGACCACTCGACTCCTGACGTTCGAATCAAGTGAGCAATAATCACTTGGATCAGTAAGTGGCCCGCATAAATCGCACTGATGATGTCGTCTAACCTGACGATGAAACGTTTGCAGCCAAATCAGCCAGCTCGGAGAAAACACGCATAACATCATCCGCATCCCGAGCTTCAAATATTTTTACGAATTTGTAATATTTTGTCACACAAATACCAGGTAAGCCAAACAGTCACATAATGAAAGGCACCTACATATCGCAATTCAGAGCAGCTTGTGATTTACTAGTACGATATTAAGCTATCTTCACTTTTCTGTAGGTTATGACTTTCAAGTTTCGAAGGTGATAAACCATAATCTATTTCCTTTCGTTTCATTAGTCTTTCCACCCAGAAAATCTTTTATGTGCTTGTGAAGAACCATGATTCAACGGCAAAGCAACAGCAGAACAAGTTTAATTACTTGGTGTTGCTTAGTTTGAAATTTATAACCAAATTTGTTTTTGGATATTAATAATGCAACCTAACCACGTTTGATTTTCTTTATTTAGGGAACTGATTTTCGGATTGTCGAGGAATACAAAGTTTATTAATTTTTTAAACATAATATATGACATCTTGTAATATACTTCGTACCGGCTTTGAATTTATAATTTCAGGAGGTTATAAAACATAAACCGTGTTTGTAAAGAGTTGTCGTGGTTCACAATGAACTCAAGTATTACTCGATCGTGGCATGCGACGGGCACCTAGTGCACAGTTCAATCAACCATGGAAACGGATGACGCAAGAGGTTTGGGCCTACAGCACACCGACACGGCAAGCTGTCGATAGCACGCAGCAGAGCGTAGAATCAAATGGGACCAAGAATGAAGTGCACAAATGAGTCCGACTGTTCTATATTCAAAATATTATATCATGTCTGAATTCGTTCTCCAATGCACAACTCGTCCGCGCCGTTCTGTCATCTACAGATTTGGAGACGCGGAAAAGCAGAGGATTAAGATGCGGATTCCGTGGCCAAAGCCAACTGAGCGCGGGAAGGTATGGACGTTGCTGGAGGAAGATGTTGCGGAGGCAGTCGGGGCGAAACAGGAATTGGCGAAGTTGGTTGCTTCGCCGGGTCTAATCAAGGGACGGGGGAATGCAATCCTGGCGGTGAAGAAAGAAGCCCAGCCAACTTGGAATGGGCCGCGACGATATAGGTGCAGATCACAGAGTCCGACAGTCCGGTCGACCGCCAGGTAAACATGAGGCGATTCCACGCGGCCGGCTTTGGCTAAAAGTGGATCCGGCCATGTTTGCGCTCTATTTCAGCAGCCTGTTTGATCGGGCACTACCTGATTGCGACGACGCGTCAAGACAGTACATTTTAGTAGAGCAGTTATTGGACGGTATAACTCCAACGATAGCGAATGGATTGCAAAATTTGAACGCCACCCAGAGAAAGAGCCTTGTGGAAGTTGCTCTGGAGATAAGCGTGTTAGTACAGGAGCCATTGACACCAGTGAGAACCGTGGACCAGAAAGACGGCAAGCGATTTTACAGGTCAAAAAAGAAGTTAGAGCAGACTAGGTACAACATCAGAGCAAGTCATAGCACCCGTCAGAGGACGCAGCAAATTGAGCGATGCTTATATTGTGGAAAACTGGGACACATGAAGCGCTCAAGCTCATCGAGACGCACTACACCCTTTATACCAAATAACAGTTAATAACAGTGTTGTTTTCGTGTTGGAGTGTGGATATCTTAGGCCCTAAACAAAAGTGTGATTGAAGCGATAGTAGAGGTGAATGGCAAAACGGAATGGTGTTTACTTGTTGCATGGGCAGTAGTCTCCCCTAGCAGCCACCGAGATGAAGTGAACACCCAATCATGTTCCATGATGGCGAAAGCGGTCGATGATTACGATATACCCCTAAACGGTATGGTGGAGCACGTGGTTGGTCTCGGGATTCATAAATGCAATCATCCCTTCGTCGTGTCGCCGGAAGCAAAATAGACCATTCTGGGGACAGACTATCTCCAAGCCAGTTTAAGCCATCGTCGACTTGAAACGAGGAAAGCTGAAGACGAAATACGGGTCTATGCTGCTGCTGTTTGGGATGGATGCACACCGGTATGCTCGGTCGTTGCCGTTGTATACACTCGTCCGGCCCCGCAATGGCTTGTCGGCCTATACAAACTTCTCCTCACCGAAAATAACTGCTCCCACAGATTTGGTAATTGGCTCGAACACACAATTCCGTTTTCGCGGCGGCGTATCGGCCGCATGGACCCAGAAGAATATCAATCCAGCTGGAGGCAGGAGATCACAATGAAGGTTCAGGTGATCTTGAATGCGGATGTATTTAAGGCAGCTCACAGCCTATAATACTCCAAAATACTTTTAGTGTTAAAGACAAACGGAAAATACCGCTTTTGCGTGGACTTCAGAAGGTTGAACAAGAGATCGATGATTTTTCTGTCCCGGTACCAGCAGTCTACGAAAACTTCGGCAAACTTTAGAATTAAAGATATTCACGGTACTGATTTTGAGATCTGGCTCATGGGAGCTGGCAATCAAACAGGAGGACTGGGAGACGACAGCGATTAAAGATTGCGCGAAACAACGCCAATCTAACAGGATACAGTTTGAATTCTCTGGTGCCCCTTTTCATTAACCGGCGTTTGATGCTCCGCCTTCTGAATGGGTTAGATTGTGTGGCCGCGGATGTAGATGACCTCGCGATATAAATTGTATCGGAACCTGAAAACTGCTGTAATTTGGAAGCAAAGCTGCGAATCCTTCAACATCCGGGATTACGGATAAATGGTCATAAATCTCAAATCGGGTTAGTATCCGTGACACTGCTTGTTCACAAGGTGGGTCAGGGTGAGCTGTAGCTGTTGTCGTAGAAAACACTGACACTTCTACGCACCCAATTCCGACCTCATAACGCTCTTTTAAGGCACTTTTGGGCCGCGCCGGCAAATACAGTAAATTCTTCAGGAATTTAAACAGTTTGACGTCACTTCTACAACCAGTTAAGTGAGGAAAATAAATTCATAACAAAGCCAGAAAGACATAGGATGACAAATCTTCTGTTGAAATTGCCGATGGCCTTAGAAACGTTTACGGTGGCCACAGGCGCAAGTGACGTCGGACTGAGTGCGTTACTACAGCAAAAGCATGTGACGATTGAATTCGCTAAGAGAACTGTAACGCTGTCGGAACACAAATATTCAACAGTAGTGTAGGAGTGCCTGACAATTGTTTGGGCGCTGGTCAATTAGCGGGCGTACTTACTGGGTAAACTCTTTCACTTCGAAACAGATCACAAACCGTTGGAATGGATTAGGTCCTCTAAAGACCCCAGAAGTAAGCTGTCAAGGTGTGTGCTGCGCTTACAAAAATACTTCACGAAAAAACTACGTATCAGAGAGCAACAACTTAACGGCAGGTTTTTCATCTCGCCTGAGCAATGAGGATGATTTGCCCAACATTGCCTTCCGTGTCTGCTGTTTTGTGCAGGAGCTGGATCCGGGGAGCTTGGCAGTTGAGAGACGAAATGATAGGCTCCCGAACAAGCTGATAACAGCACGAATAATGAATCAAAGTCTGACAACCGAACACCAAGACCAACAATTCCGACCGTCCGCGGGGAACCTGAATCTTCTGTTGAAATTGCCGATGGCCTTAGAAACGTTTACGGTGGCCACAGGCGCAAGTGACGTCGGACTGAGTGCGTTACTACAGCACAAGCATGTGACGGTTGAATTCGCTAAGAGAATTTTAACGCTATCGGAACGCAAATATTCAACAGTAGAGTAGGAGTGCCTGGCAATTGTTTGGGGGCTAGACAATTACCGGGCCTACTTCTGAGTCAACGCTTTCAGTTCAAAACAGATCACAAGCCGTTGGAATGGATTATGTCTTCTAAAGACCCCAGAAGCATTTGTCAAGGTGTGTGCTGCGCTTACAAAACGACGATTTCACGATAAGCTATGTATCAAGGAGCCATAACTTTACTGCGTGTTTTTGATCGCGCCTGAATAATGAGGACGATCTGCCCAACATCACCTTCCGTGTCTGCTGTTTTGTGCTAGAGCTGGATTCGGCAAAGATGGCAGTTGAGAAACGAAATGATAGGCTCACGAACAAGCTGATAACAGCACGAATAATGAATCAAAGTGTGACAATCCAACATCAAGGCCAACAATTCCGACCGTCCGCGCGGAACCTGAATAAGCTGCAAGTCCACAAAGCCGGAATTCTGATGTGGACGGAAGGGCGAGGTGCTACCAAGGTGCCGGTGATCCTACCGAAGTTGAGAGAAAAGTTGGTAGCCTCTTGTCACGAGATGGCCCATACCGGTTGGCCCGGAAGATATGTTTTACTTAGACAGCAAGGCACTCCCTATTTCAGATAATGTATACCCGCGGGCCTCGAATTCATGTGGATCTAGAGAGGTGAATGTGGCCTAGCTGCCAATTAGCGCCGAGGGAAGCACGGAACAACAGGAACGAAACATGTAGGCGAAACATGTGGGCAAGCGTAGATGATATAAGAATCATGGTTCAACATGAGAAAAGCATCCGGTGACTTTCCAAGTACAAAGATAACCAATGCGCGAGCACATGTGATCCAGGCGAGATGAATATTCCCCGAAATGGAAGAGGTCAAATGACTTAATGGATCTACGAGGTCCGGAATACACCATCGCTCGACAGGGAGAAAGGTGGCGAGTTCACGCAAAGGGAATTTAGGAACTGGTACGAGCGGGGATAAGAAAAACCACGACACACATGGGGCAGATGTGGCAAGAGTTAAAGCTGTCACCTGTTTAGTGGCGCCAATGAAACGTTGGCCGAATGGAATCTTGGCGCAAAGCCAAACATGAGGATGCCCGACAGACTGCGCTGTCCAAACCCCAAAGCGTGGGTAGAGTGGACAGTGTGAACGCTGCAGCTAGGACCATTCAGCCCGCGTTGGGTAGCTCAGGAAGAATTGTGCGTATGTCACAATCCAAAGCCGACGTTTCGTAGCAAATAAATAGTTTTTCATTTTTGATACAAATAGTGACTTGATCGATGCTCATCTGAATTTTGCATTTCGAGAGCACAATTTCACAGCAGGCATGAAGGTCGGAGAGACTGCGTTCGTGATGGACGTCCCCGGTAATTTTAGAGGGGAGGACTGTGGTGCACTCCTAATGGGTAGTGTGTGTCACACAAGTAGACGCAATGAAATCATCGAATATGGATCACCAAAGACCACGGGCGGGTAGTACAAATTTCATTAGCCCATGAAAGTGAATGGCGCTGGCGTTTTGTGTCTATACCACGCCGTCATGTCAAGGTGAGTCGGTAGCACGTATCGGTGGGTAGAATCAAATGGACGCACTTTTGAAATAGGTAAATGAGTCCGACTCTTCGAAGTTCGAAACGTTTATCATATGTAGTTTCGTTCTTTAGTACACAAATCGTTTGCACCATGAAGCCTTCTCCACATATAGTGGTTACGTTTCCTCCTGCACTGTATTACTTGGGGCAAGGCAGAAACAACCGTACGCAAGCTTTTTAAAACTTTTTTTCAAACCTTTCGTAATTATCTTTTTAACATATTAAACTATTGAGTAAAATGTCAGTAGTGAAGATGATAAAGGTTAACGGTGAAACTCACATGTGTTCGCTATTGACGCGCCTAGAGCAGGAACGCACGAACATGGGTAACTCTCCACTTGAATTATAAACTCGGTTTTTAACTGGTGAACCGCGATTGTGTGACCAGTCCCGCATAATGAATAGAGTGAGGAATATAAAATCAAAGGTAACGAATGACATAAAAGTAGGCATTCCAAAGTTTAGGTATCACATCAGCTGATTGGATGGTGGAGTTGAAGCAGTCGTTGGGTGAATGTGTGCGACGCGCAATCTTAATGTGATCGCTGGTTTCCATAGCAGTGTACCTTGGTCAAATCGATCACTGTGACATTGTTTATCGAAGCACATAACTATGTTTTGCCCAACACCCAAAATTTAACTGACTTACCAGCCGTTCACATAAACATTGACGCATACTTCCTCAACGCCAGGTTACAGAAAGTGCGAGAAAACTCCTAGTTTGGTTAGACTTACATGGTCTCCAGAGTGAAACGGATCATTTCTCGTGATGCAAGTGAGGTAGTGTCTCGTTAAGCCTCTTTTTAAAAGCGTTAATGTAGCTGTACCTGTAGCTCTGGAGGCAGCCACATCGAGCTCACTGACCAGACATGAGGTCAAAATCTTTGATCAGGTCACAAAGTGGGTACGCAGCTGCATGTGATATTTAACTGCGGAAGTATTTCACTCGGGAAACCGAGCTACCTCAGCATTCACCAGGCTCTTGCTGCCTACTGCTCACTGAGTCAATCCTGCTGAGTCGTTCACATTCTTAATGCGCGATCAGTGGCCCAAACACTTGAGACATTGGAAGCTATTGTCATCGATCGTGAACGATCACCGCTATGTATCCAAAAACAGTTGACAGTGACTCGCCGCTTACCTTGGCAGCACTTGCGTTTTGCCACCCAGAATCGCCGTTTGTTTATGTTCCGATGTTGCAAGTTTTGTGATTGATATAACTGAATGAAATGACAGCGTCAGCTCACAGCCGACGTCTTCTGATGTTTATGTTTGGAAGGATGGAATTGCCAACGCAAAGGATTATAAACTTGAACCAGAATTGACCTAAACTAAGTGACATGTTCTGTTTGGGAATCTTGTTGTAATTCTGTCGGCCATGATCGCGGTGTCTATTAGAATAGTAAGGGAAGCATAAAGAGTCGGCCAGAATATTTAGGTCGCTAACATAACAAATGCTTCCGGCCCACGTTTGGTAAAGCTACATAGCTACCGTTGTGCTTGTTGTGCGAAACGAAAGCAGCTGTGCAGTTGTTTGTCTTAATTTTAATCATCAATGCAGATAGTTTTGGAGCAGAGCAAGGAATGTTAGATGGGTGGTTTTTGTTCAAAGTCTACGATGTGACTTAAAAATTAAGACAGCTAACAGCAAGGCTACTTTCATTTCTTCAGCAAGACACAGCAACGGAATTCAAACTTTACAATATTTGGACAGGAATCAAGTATCTACCGCCCGTTAGTTGAACGAAACCGAGAGCAGATTTAACGTGGTTTACAGAGGGTAGATGGAAATTAGCTCTTGCAAGCAGGCTCTAAACTATGCATCATCCACTGCTGTTTTTCCTATGCCTCCTTTGATGATGAGTATGTGGATCTCTGACTTGTTCGAC